AGTGTGGTAGGTAAAACACAGGTATTTTAAAATAAATACTACCTTCAATTTTTATATTTGCGAATGGTTACAAATCTTCATGAAATTTTTTTCTAATTTTGTCAATGTGTTAAGATTATATTAATTCACCTATTATTTCAATGTGAAAAAAACTTTTAAATTATTTTATGTGGTGTCACCCCACTCGGGCGTTATTTTACGTTTCATCTATTGACAATATTTAACAAAACTTCTTCAAATTTTGTAGTTGGTGTCACCCTCACCCCTTAATGATAGCATACTTAACAAGAATATATGCATACTCAATCAGATGGATGTTTTTAAAGTCGTTTAATAATATTGCTGGATGTAGGTTGTTGTTGTTTTTTCCTTTAAAATTATTAGCTTGTTGGTATCCTCAATTTGTTCTTCGAGACTATTAAATTTCAATTTATCATAAAGCGAACTGGCAAAATCTCATTTTTCTTCTGAAAACTATACAATTTTTTCCATTAGTGTCATCCTTAAATGATGTAACCCGTTGCGGTCCGCACCCTGGAAACCCCTCCCCACCCCCTCACGGCGCCTCTGATACTCTGTACAGGGAAAAGTAAATAACCATATCAATTTTTGAAATTTGAAATCAAGTGCACATGTTTCCTACAAGTGTGTGATAGGATTTATAAATTTTAACTAAGAGGTTCGTGATTAAAGTTGAATTTTAAGAATACACTAGATTACCCGTCATCCGTTGGATAACTGTGGGTTTCTCAGACAACGTGTTTTTATCGTTTAAAAAAACGATTCCAGCCGAGCATCCCTTCATATGCTGAGGACAAAGAAACATATTAACTCTATTTCACCTGCCCTGTATCCTGCCAAGTTCAGATAGTCAACTTTATCATTCACATCTAAAAAAAAAATTGAAAAAAAAAAATTATCATTGACGTATTGGTCTAGAACAGGGGTCTCCAAACTACGGCCCGCGGACCGCATGCGGCCCGCGAAGTCCTCTCATACGGCCCGCGGAGATCTTTTTGTCCAAGGAAGAATCGTGTGTTGGTGATGGCTGAGGACGTTTGCCCAGAAAAATTGAAGACATGCCTGGAAGAAACCGGCCCCCGAACTGAAATTTTATAGGTAATGCGGCACTCGGACTGAAAAGTTTGGAGACACCTGGTCTAGAACCTGTGCCACCCGCATGCAAGCCATTTATACTAACAACTAAGCTATTTTACTCGTGACGACACAGATGTATTTTTATACTATACTCTAATCTTTGAGTCAACTTATGCAACTTGATTTACGCGCACAGATCTAGATCTAAGTCTAGTAGTAGTAACTTTCAAATTAAATTTATCTTAAATTAGCCAAACAAAGATTTATATAAAATAATGAAGGTCTGAAATTATCTAGATCTAGATACAATTATCTAGATCTAGATTCTACGACTCGTATGCTTAAGTCTTAAGTCTAGTATTTGCGTAACTTTTGCTAGATCTAGAAATTCTAGATCTAGAATCTAGATCTAATCATTAGACCTATTCTAGCTAGATAGATCTAGATCTAGATAGATAAATCACAGAGATTTAAATCAAGTATTTAAGGACTAAAAATGTATTATGATTATAAAATGGATTGTATTTTTATCTAACTAATCTTTGGTGTGTATCTAATTAATCTTTGGTTTGACCTAGATTCTAGTTCTAGATCTATAAATAACTTGCTTGGCCACATGATATTTTTAGATCTGTAAATAACTTTCTTGGACAGATTGTAGAGCTAGAGAAATTTATTGTAAAACTAAATGAAAAAGACAGTTGAAAATTAATGTAAGTGTTGGAACGTAATAAAAACAGCAAACGGACGTATTGTTAAAGTTATGGCCGACAGAAATTTAGCTTTAGAACGCGTTATACTTTTGAATGGGCCACAAAGTCTATGATCGAAGCCGCCATTTATTGTACTAAAAAGTAAACAAAACTTGTGACGTCACTATTCGGTCAAAGAAAGCCTTTTTTCTAAAACTTTAAAAACTAATGTGGTTAATCTACCTACGAATAAATCAACAAATTAATTAACGTCTTTAAATAAATTTGTGATTAACAGTCTGTCTGAAAACAAAAATTGTTCTTTAATTACATACTATTTTACAGCTCTCCACATAGAGTAGATACAATAGTCAATCAGACAACCAAAAGAAAACAAATAAATATTCAAACATGTAAACAAACTTGAGTTTTAGTAGTATATAGATTATATTAATTTACTTAGGTTTAATAATCCATAGCCTAGCTCACATAATTACCAGTGTCTCCCAGGCAGCGTTTTAAAATAGCATTAACAAACTACGAATTGATACATTGCTGCCACACAAATCTCCAGTTGGATTAAACATATCTCCTCGCACAAGTATCACAGTATAACTGATACGCAGTAGCGTAGCGAGGGGGGGGGGGGGCGGGGAGGGGGGACATATGTCCCCGGGCGCCGACCTTAGGGGGCGCCAAAATGGGTTGGAAAAATAAATTGAAAGGTTGAGGGGGGTGCAAATCGAAAGTTTGAGGGGGGTGAAAATGGAAATCTCGAGGGGGGGGGTGCAAAGCGAAAAGTTTGTCCCCGGGCGCCGGGAAGGGTCGCTACGCCTCTGCTGACACGTACACGTACACGTACACGTACACGTACACGTACACGTACACGTACACGTACACGTACACGTACACGTACACGTACACGTACACGTACACATGGACGAACCGACGGTCGGACGGAAGGATGGACGGATGGTTGGATGGTTGGATGGTTGGATGGTTGGATGGTTGGATGGTTGGATGGTTGGATGGTTGGATGGTTGGATGGATGGATGGATGGATATTTGTGTGTGTGTGCAGTAGAGTGTATTTTATTTGATAATACACATACAGTAGCCGCTCCTATGTTTTTCCGTAAGTGTGAAAAAGTGTGTGTGTTTGTGTGAGGCTGTCTGAATGCTAACGAGATTGTTTGCGTGTACGAATGCATGTGTATAAAGCATGTGTTGTTAATAATCTGAAACAACGGATACACTTGACTTTCTAACAAGATAAAAAAACACTTAGTTTCTGGGTAATGTTTAAATCAATGGCGGAACTACATAGACCCCACACCACGTCATGTACTCTAGAAGGTTAAGTAGAACCAAGCAAAAGTCCCAGAATCCGTACATAGGTTAAATTTAAGTATACAAACTTATTGACCGAGGTTTTAAAATGTATTGCTCTACTTTTTTATGCGCTTGGGTTGTTTTAAAAACCAAAGCTAATTTAATGTGAAAGTTTACTTACGTTTAACTTTTCTCTATATTTTAAAAATCAAGTCACCAAGGCCGGTAACATAAGTAAACCCTTTTGTGATGTTAAGTCAATATAAAAGTTAAAAAACACTGCAAATTAAGTGTGTATATGTTTAATGTAGCATTTAAACTAGAACAGCGTATCGCATGCTGTCTTTCACAACCACGACGAATTAGAAGATTTTAGAGTACTGTTTGAGACTAAATGTTTTTCTGGAAACCAGAAGTAAACAAGATTTTTAAAAAAGTAGTTTATTTACTTTTGGTTCTTTTGTTTAGAACATGCGCTGATTATCTTCTCTGTGTACCTTAATGCTTTTGTCGTTAACAGGAAATAGTTTAAAATAGTATTAAAATTACGTATATGATGTAAAAATATCATATGGATTTCTTCCATCAAACAGTATTACAATTATTTCGCTAAACAAGTACACGGAACAGACATACAGACCATAATGCAAATCTGGGTTCAATTTATTCGTAATATTTCCCCATATGAGAAAGTAAAAAAAAAGTTAAACTACAGGAAAATATTTAAGGAAACGTATTTCAAGAAAACAAATTTCACACATAATATTCCATGCAAAATATTTCAAATAAACACAATTTGGGCAAAATACTTTTAATGATCTAGATGGAAGCAAAGAAGAGTGAACATCGAGTTATTTAGAAAATATAGTTCGTAATTGTATTAAACGAATATGAATAAAAAAAACAAAATCAAAATGAATATAATTTGAATGTTCAAATTGAAAATACTAAAAAAAAAATAATAAAACATAAAGAAATTACCATGCACGTGAACAAACTAAAACAAATGAAACATACAAAATTTTGATGACCTAAACGAAATTTGAAATTATGTTGCCGGTCTCCGAGTCTCAACAAAAGATAAAATGCCAGCCACTAAAAACATAACAAGGCTGGAGATGACTAAGTCAAAGGACCAGCCCACGCTAAAAAAACCTGAAAATTGTTTCGGTACATAAAGTCTTTTAATTTCTCCAGCTGCGACCGCTATTCCGATTGCTCCGAACAGAACTGAAAATAAAAGAAACATGTGTGTGTATATATATATATATATATATATATATATATATATATATATATATATATATATATATATATATATATATATATATTTATATATATATATATATATATATATTTATATATATATATATATATATATATATATATATATATATATATATATATATATATATATATATATATATATATATATATATATATATATATATATATATATATATTTATACATCTAAGTGTCTACAACAAATTCTAGAAAGACCGAAGGCCGATTGTCCGAATGGACGTTTGCCAGAAAGCAACAAATAACCGAATGGAAGATCACCCTAATGGGACAAATGCCGGAATGGAATTTTACCGAAAATATAATGTACTTTCTAATTTGAAAACTCTTTTATTTAGATAAACCCACCTGAAAAAAATGCCAGCCCAATAGTACACCAGGCCACAAATTTGTTTGTTTTAATCACAAGAGCTGAAAGTGTCAACAGGATGACCAGAGACTGACCAGTCAAGCATATGCCTAGGAAGACACGTGAAGCATAGGCCCATACTGTTGAAAGAAACAGAAATTATAGTGTTGAAAATGAAGTAATATTATCAATTATAAACAGCTTTAAGGGTAATACAATACTATGCATTTTTTATACGTTATACTTAAGATGGGAAGAATTATAACCTCCAATACACTTTTTCTGGATCCCCACCGTTAATAATCTGAAATATTAATATTTACAAAAAAATTTACCCATGCTGATATCGGCAAATTGTTTCGCCAATTTGAGACTAACACATATATCACTTTTCTGTTCACACATTTCCCATAATCCAAGATGAGTAAAATCCCCGAATCTACCAATGTAGTTGGTACAGTAACCGATAATGTTCAGTAACAAACCTGAAATATATATTTTTTATTTTAATCTTCAGCCCTTGCATCTACAAATTTTACTTAAACCTGCCCTCAACCATACACCGACATTACACAAAAAAACTTCAAAACTTTATTATATTTTTACTCAACTCAACGCTATAGCCCTATAAAAAAATTAAAGTAACCTATTTAAAAAGAGTAAACCCTACGGTGGATGGTACCAGATGCCTGAATATTTAGCACTTAATAAGGTTTAACAGAGATAAATGTTTTATTTTAAGTGCAACACCTAGCGTCTGTTTAAAATGTAATCTTCTTTTATTTATCGCGTAGTAGTAAAAAAAAATATTGCATCAAAAACGTTTTAATAGCAAGCGGTTTTTATGTAAATTTTTAAATACTTTTAATTATTTTTTTTACAATGGAGTTTCATGACTAAAAACTATCGCACACCAAATGAACCTGATAATGCGCGTATAGTAGTGCGGAAAGAGTAGTTTAAGACAGTCTACTATTATAGGAAAATCTGAATCAATTCATAAATAAACCGGGAGTGATCTCCCCTAAACTTTCTCGAATATTCTTATATAAAATAACAGGGGATGGGAACTCGGGCTATAGACATGATTTTTAATCCATTTTAAATACTTTAAGTTTTAAAAATAGAATAAAATCTCGTAGACAAATTAATTGCACACCAAGTGAACGCCAAATAAAAAAGCGCATAATGGTGCGCAATATTATTAGTACTTTTAAAATTTACATTAGTTTTTTGAGAAATCGGAAGTAGCGTAAATTACTACTTCCAGTCAACGGAAATTACTCAAAATTTAACAGAAGGTAGAGAATTAGATCTTTTACTTACATGTGAAATTTCATTTATCTATCTGAAATAGTACTCAAGTTATAGGCTTTTGAAAAATTCAAAGTAGGAAAAGTACCACTTCCGGTTATCGGAAATCGCTCAAAAGTTGATACGGATCTACGATTTCGATAAAATACTTATATATGAAATTTCATCAACGTAGCTGTAACGGTACTCAAGTAATCGTGTTTACACACGGACAGACAGACACACAGACACACAGACACACAGACAGACACACAGACATACGGACAAGATTGCAAAATTATGTTTTTCCGTATCAGTGAGGTGTAAAACGTCGAGATTTGTAAAAATCTCGATTTTTTTTTTTGCACGATTACAAGACTTTCTCTATACTTCGTATATACGAGAAAGTAAAAATTAAATAAGTCAAATTTGATGTCATATTGCACGGTTTAAGTCTTGGCCTATGTGCCAACTTTGAAACGAATTTGTCAGTTAGAAGTGCCCGAAATTTAGCTCGAGCGGTTCGATTTATGACGACAGACTGACAACAGACAGACGAAGCAAGTTAAATAAAATCTTGTTAAAATAATTTAACCCAAAATTAACAATATTGAATACAGTGTGATTGGGTTAGGAATTATGGGAATTTAAAACATGAGAATGTCCACAATCCGGACTAGACGTCTCTGAAAAAGGTTATCCTCTTGTCGCAACAGTTAGTCCGTTGGTTTCAACAAGAATTTTTATTTTTCAATCTTAAAAAAAAATAAGTTAGGTGCCGTTATTTTTCCGGGCCTTGGACAATCGTTTAAAACCTCAAATGTTACATGAATCATCTTAAAGGTGTTTTCGGTTTTCTTGGCTACTTATTTACCGTAGGCTACGTTTTATTACACAAATAAAAAGCTTACTGAATAGCATATATAGCTAAAAATACCCGAACAGTAATAATCAATGATTACGTATAACAGTGTCTGAATTCATAAGCAAAAATAACTTTTCAACAAACCTACTTAAAAGTTGTAGAAAGATATTGATCTTCCACACGATTGATGTGTTCTGTATCGGCATGCTGCTGTCTTCTTAGGTAATTGTTCAAAAAACTATTTGAAATTTAAAAAAAAAAAATTTTAAATTTAAAAAATTTAAAAAATACGCAAACACATACACAGACGAAAACATAAACCCAAACCCAAATGCATACCCAAACCGAAACACAAGCACGAACACGAACACAAACCCAAACGCAAACGCAAACAAAACGTAAACGCAAACACAAATGCATATCTAAAAATAGAAATACAAACATTAACGCGAACAATAACTCAAAATAATGCAAAAGTGAACGCGAACATAAACTCAAAATTAAATGCAAACACGAACGCAAAGGTCTCACAGTTTAGCCCGGGTCGCCCTGCTGGGGCGCTGGTGGAACCGCCGAATTCAACTTGATAAACGAATATAAAACCCCAGCTTATTTATAGTCTTTTGCACTCTCTTTAATTAACGTATGCGCCATAGCGAACACGGAAAGGTGCAGGATTAAATTTAGTGAAGGAATTTAGTAACCTTTCTTATCCATGGTCTATCCGTAGCCTATTGCACTGTATATAATGAATGTATGCACCATAGTGCTCACAGAAGGGCCCGTGCGCCAAATAACACCCTCTCGGGGCGCCGGATGACGCCCGGGTTTGATTTAGCTAAAGACTATAATAACTTTTCTTATCCATAGTCTATTAGAACGAACGTATGCACAATAGCGCTCACAGGATAGCCCAGGGTGCCACATCGAACCCTGCCGGGGCGTAGGCGGACGTGCCTGATTCAATTTAGTGAATGACTGTAATACCCTCAGCTTAGCCGCAAGTAAACATAGAGGACATTTAGGAGCGGTTTCTAAACTGTTATTGATTAAAAATAGTACTTGGTAAGCAGTACTTTCAGTGCAAAAAATAATTAAAAAGCCGTTTTTAAAATATATGTGCTTTTCCTGTCACATTGCACTTTATCAATCTACGCTAATAATAATGTTGTTTTTTTCCAACACCAAAACAAACTATTAAAAATTATTTTTTTCTCCGATGTAATCTCTATACTACTAAAACTCAAGTTTGTTTAAATGTTTGAATATTTATTTGTTTTTTTGTTTGTTTGTTTGTTTTTTTGTTTGTCTGATTGACTACTGGAGGAAATCTGCTCTATGTGGAGAGCTGTAAAAATAGTATGTAGGTAGAGAACAATTTTTGTTTTCAGACAGACTTTTAATCACATATTTATTTAAAGACGTTAATTAATTTATTGATTTATTCATTGGTAGATTAAATACATTAATTTTAAAAGTTTAGAAAAACGACTTTACTGTTAGTGAATAGTGACGTCACATGATTTGTTTACTTTTTAGTACAATAAATGGCGGCACTATGCAAGATTTCGTATCTTACTCAGATTTTTAACGAGTTCTAAAGCTAACTTTCTGTCGGCTATAACTTTAACAATACGTCCGTTTGCTGTATTTATTTTTTATTACGTTCCAACACTTACATTAATTTTCAACTGTCTTTTTCATTTAGTTTTACAATAAATTTCTCTAGCTCTACAATCTGTCCAAGAAAGTTATTTATAGATCTAGATCTAGAATCTAGGTCAAACCAAAGATTTATTAGTTAAAATTACAATAATAAAAAACTAGACTTAAGCAAACCAGTCGTAGATCTAGAATATAGATAATTATATCTAGATTTAGATAATAATGGGGTTCTATATACTAAACTATTTTAGACCTTTATTATTTTATATAAATCTTTGTTTGTTTAGCTATGGAATATGCTAATTTGGAAATGCTCGATCTAGGGCCTATTTGCGTAACTTAAGATTCATACGCGGCTTCTATACCGCTAATTTTGCAAAATTATAGACTTAACGTAAATTCTAGATCTAGCTCTATCTGGATATACTAAACTATTTCATGCCTTAATATTTTACTTTATATAAATCTTTGTTTGTTTAGCTACGGAATAGGCTAATTTGGGATAATATTAAATTTGAAATGCTCGATCTAGGGCCTATTTGCGTAACTTAAGATTCATACGCGGCTTCTATACCGCTAATTTTGCAAAATTATAAACTTAACGTAAATTCTAGATCTAGCTCTATCTGGATATACTAAACTATTTCATGCCTTAATATTTTACTTTATATAAATCTTTGTTTGTTTAGCTACGGAATAGGCTAATTTGGGATAATATTAAATTTGAAATGCTCGATCTAGGGCCTATTTGCGTAACTTAAGTTTCATACAAGGATTCTATACCTCTAAATTTGCTTATAATTGTAACTTTCCAGATGGGTGAGTTGATAGGGTAATCGCTATCCGTGTGAGTGGTACGGGTTCGAAACACATCTTGTAAATATTTTTTTTTTTGTAATTTTTTTTATAGATGTGAATGATAAAGTTGTCTATTGGGACTTGGCAGGATACGGGGCAGGTGAAGTGAAGTTCACCTGTTTCTTGTGTTCTTGGCATATGAAGGGATAGTGTGGTCAGTGCCATGCTTGGCCGGAATCTTTTTGTAAACGATAAAAAGATATTGTCTGATACTTGGCGGGACACTGGGCAGGCGAAGTAGAGATGGGTAGGTGTAGAGTTCACCTGTGACGTCAGCATATGAAGGGGTCAGACCTATGCTGAGCCTATGTTGGTGTCAGTGTTTCTTCCAGAATTTTTTCTCCGGGGGGGCGGTAGACTATCTTCGTGGGGGGAGCCGCATGGTTTTTTATCAGTGGGTTTTTTTTTCAGATGTCTAGAAGAAACTCTGATCGGTGTTTTAAAAGACAGAACAAGTCTAAGTTGGGGGGACACTGCGCAGGTGAAGTACAGTTGACCTGTTTTTGTGATATCAGCATATAAAGGGATAGTTTTGTTAGACCCATGCTCAGCCGAAATAGATGTTTTTAAAAGACAAAAACGTCTGAGGTGTAACGTCTATTTGAATGTGGGTGTGGTTTTTTGTGACGATAAGTGACAGACGTGATGTTTTTTATGGATGACCCCCGAAACCCACAGTTATCCAAGGGATGACGGGTAGTCTAGTTGTTGTTTTTTTTTTTTAAGCGAAGTAAAACATTTTTTGTGATCTTTCAAGGGAAGTAATTGGCAATAAATAAAACAAATTTAAGTAATTTGCACACTTTTTTAATTCGCGCTCGGGCCAGGCCGTAATCTGATATAACTGGGACTGACGCAGATAATTGTCGTTGCGATCAGCATGGGGGGGGGGGTGATTTATGGCTGGGAATTCCTGGCCAGAGATGACGGTGAGGAAATTTTTCCACGGTCAAGCACGGTAGACTTGAATATTTTAGGAGGGGTTAGAGAGACCAGAGGCGTAGCGAGGGGGGGGGGGGGCGGGGGGTGCGGACCGCACCGGGTGACACCATTTAGGGGGATGACACCAAGGCAAAAAATAGTAATATATAGAAAAAGAAAAGTTTGAGGGGAGGGTGCAAATCGAAATTTTGAGGGGGGGGGGGGTGTAATCGAAAGTTTGAGGGGGGGTGGGTGCAAATTGAAAATTTGTCCCCGGGAAGGGTCGCTACGCGTCTGGGGGATGACACTATTAAGTGCCGCACCGGGTAACACCCGACCTCGCTACGCCACTGAGATAGACTACTCGGACTCACGCACTCGGAGGGATAGCTCGGGGTAGCAGGACTAAGGGGACGTCTCTTTATGAGCTCGTGACAGGCCACAGAATAGCTGTAGTAGATGTAGGCTAGGATCGACCGATAGGGACAAAGTAGAGTAATCGGAATACGAACTTTTTTTTCTGGTTGTAGATAGTTGTATTTTTCTGATTGTTTTTGTGTGGTGGCGGGTTAGTGTTATTGTGGCAATTAAATAGTAGAAATCACAGCTAGTGGATTTGTTTTTATTTATTATTAGTCCTTGTTTCTTTTTATGATGCCCCACCTAGTACGAAAGGATTAGAGAAGAGGGTCGTAACATTATATATATATATATATATATATATATATATATATATATATATATATATATATATATATATATATATATATATATATATATATATATATATATATAAAAGACTGCAAAGACATAAGACAAAAAAGTTCACAAAACAAATACAATGTTTGAAGGTTTACTTGCTGAGAGGAAATAGTCGTTGTCGTCCGTTGGATTACAAATCAATACAAAAACTAATGTAAGAGTATCGACATAAGACGAAATTATTGAAACCAACAAGCACAATTAAATGTACAATTTTTGTTTTACTGGTGTCATTCCCCTAAAATACACATACTTTACACTCTGAGCCTGTTGATAAGATATTTAGCTTTAAAAAGTAATTAGCAGTCAAGTCAAAGCCGGGTGGGCCGGCCAAGAAAGACATGGAGAAGAACGGTTGAAGAAGAGGCCAAAACAGCTGGGCACACATGGGAACAGATTGAGGGAACAACCCAAAACCGAGTCCGCTGGAGATGTGTGGTTGCAGCCCAGGGGGCCACAAAGGAATGATGATGATAATGAAAGCATCCAATGATATGTTGATTTGCAATTTTCCAATATGATGTCACCCTAATTTACTGCGGTAGACATTGTATTTTGTTCTGGTCAGTACATCGTCTGAGAAATTTGCGAATGATGCCTCCCCTTCCTTCCATTTAGCCAAACGGCTTCAATGTTCCCATAACGTCAAAGTAAAATACTCTTTGAATTTATTATATGTGGTGTCACCAAACACGGGCTTTGTTTTACGTTTCATCTATTTAAAATTTTCAACTAAATTTTTTTCTCTGTTCAAATTTTGTCGTTGGTTTTACCCCCTCCCTCAAAGGATAGTTTTAAAATATGCATCTTTATCAATAATATATATATACTTAATAAGAAGATGTTTTTCTAAAGCGTGTTAATTTTAATGCTGGAAGTAGTAATAATTTTTCTTTAGAGTTAGCAGCTTTACTTCCCTTTTGTTTTGGGATCCTCACTTTGTTCTTAAAAGAATATTAAACTTCGATTTACCATTAGTAAACTTGCAAAAAGCATTATTCTTCTGTATATTTTGCAATTTTTACTCCGTTTGTGTCATCCCCCCCGCCAACACCCCCCCCCCCCACCCCTCCTTCTCCCTCCCCTCACGACACCTCTGATACTCTGTAGGCCCTACACATAAAAGTAAAAAGGCACATGAAATACCATTTTGAAATTTGAAATAAAGTGTGCATTTCTCGTTAAATATTGCCGGCTGTTTTTTTTAAACTAAAATAAAATCTATTACGTTTTTTTAATTAAAGTTGTATTTTTAGATTATTAATTAAATTACGTTTAATAATCCATACACTAGCTCACATCATTACCTGTGTCTCCTAGGCGACGTTTTTAAATAGCATTAACAAATTCCGAAGTAATAAATTGCTACAATAAAAATCTCCAGTTGGAATAAACATATCTCCTCGCACAAGTATAACAGTATAACAGGCAAGACCTGCGCAAGTGCAACTGACTAGACCTGCGCAAGTAAAACTGACAAGAACTGGGTGAGTAGGTCGAGAATGGCGGAGAGATACAGGATACGAGGAGAGTGGGTGTGTTGTGTTAATGCGCTGGGCGTCGGTTGAGACAAGCCTCGACTGAAATCAGATTAGCTCAAAGCTCACTGGTGTGCAAGTACTTAGTGAAATATACGAGAGTTGCAGGACGAAATATCTCAGGCAAAATATCGAAAACAAACAATTTCAGACAAAACATTACAAACAAAACATCTCTGACAAAATAACTCAGAATGATCAAAATAAAAAAAGCATCTAATACACTTTAATTCTGTGTAAAATACAATTTCAAGTTTTATTAATTTAACATGAATGGATAAATAAAAACATAATGTTAAACAAAAATTACACTTTTAAAATGAAAATATCTAAAAGATTAACATAGAGCTGAAAAAAGTTTCTCTTTCAAATCTCGAGATCCGTGAAGCAGGTGAAGTAGATTTCACCTGTTTCTTTGACCTCAACATACATAAGTAGTGTGGTCAACACTAGATTAATACTAATAATATGTTTAACAATAAATGCTCTGCTCAAAAACACAGTACCAAATATTAGTATTTAAAATAAACAACAATTAGACTTTAGAAAAACAAATCAACATTCTGTGAACTTATTTTTCCTGTCTTTTAGCTTCAACGATAGATAGAACACCTGCCGCTATAAGCATGGCCAGGCCAGCGATGACTAGGTCAAATGACCACCCCACGTTGTAGTCATAATGGTACCGCAGTTTGAAAAGTCTTTTAATTTCTCCTGCCGCCACCCCGATACCAATTAGTCCAAAAAGAACTGCAACAGAACAAAATATATGTGCATGTGTGCTTATACTTTACATATATAGATATAGATATATATATATACACACACACATATATATATATATATATATATATATATATATATATATATATATATATTTATTTATTTATTTATTTATATATATATATATATATATATATATATATATATATATATATATATATATATATGTACGTGTGTCAATCGTGTGTGTGTGTTTCTGTGTGTTATGACGGTAATGTTATTTTACCGCCATCTTCGTTACGACCTATACTCTCTAGGGGTCGTCGATAAATGACGTCATACTCGCAGGGGGGAGGGGGTCCGTAATTTTATGAGGGTGTGTGATGAAGAGGAGGGGGGGGGGGTTCAGATGGTGTGACGTCACACTTTTGCATTATAAAAAAGCAATGTTAGAAAACGAATTTTAGACGTTATTTCGCGTTTTAGAAAACTGTTTTAATAAATTGTAATAGGAATTGATTAAAATACTCAGTTTTGACTGAGTTCAGACATGATTTTGGAAAAATATCGATGTTTAAAAAAGTAATTCAACTGCAATTTTGAGGGAGGGGTTGTAGGCTGAGGTGTGACGTCATTTTAGGGGGGGGGTCTGGCTTTTTGTGATGATGTGTGACGGAAGGGGAAAGGGGGGCGGTAAAAATCGTCAAAAAAGCGTGACGTCATTTATGGATGATCCCTTACCTGTGCTCCGCCTCTTCACCCGCCTCCCCCCCCCCCCTGTCAGCTGGAATCCCAGGACCTTTACACTGTTCAGTTGGACTACATCTACGATGTGACTCATCCCTAAGCCGGTAACCAATTAACTCGGTCCTTTTTACCCTGACCACTGCCCTTGCTCAGCGCACCTGCACGCTAACCCCCACCCTGGGTATAGGTGCGTCCAAGAAATTAGCAGTTATCGCTTCTTTACAGAAGGCATTTGATGATTTTAATAAACTAGAAATCTATATCAAACTTCTATTGCCATATGTCTTTATTGTCAGCGTTTGGTGTATTTTTACGAGTATCCACATTGTTATGATTTCCACTCCACTTAAGATGTATTAAATAATTATATCTTATTACTATATCCAATATCCCACCATATTGTTCTACACGTTAAGCGCTAGTTATATTATTTATGTTAGCGATATTTAGTAGGCCATGCCTTCTATTTCCAGCGTCATAGGTCGGGGAACATTCCAATGCTATTGTAACAGAGAAGGCGAGCGCGGTATGTACGCACTTGAGCTCAAAGTTATTGCAAAGTTGTTTTTTTTTATGTATACATAATAAACGCACCTGAAAAGAATGCCAGTCCAATAGTACACCAGGCCAAGAATTTGTTTGGTTTAATGACAAGAGCTGAAAGTGTCAACAGGATTACCAGGGCCTGACAGGTCAGACATATGCCAAGTAGGGCACGGGCCGCACGGGCCCAAACTGGAAAAAATCAAAAATGGAATTAGGATTAAAATCAGGAATGAAATCAGAAATGAAATCAGGAATGGAATTAGGAATGGAATCAGGAATGGAATTAGGAATGGAATTAGGAATGTAATCAGGAATGAAATCAGGAATGAAATCAGAAATGAAATCAGGAATGAAATTAGGAATGGAATTAGGAATGTAACCACGAATGAAATCAGGAATGAAATCAGGAATGAAATCAGGAATGGAATTAGGAATAGCATCAGGAATAAAATTAGGAATGAAATCAAGAATGAAATCAGGAATGAAATCAGGAATGGATTCAGGAATAGAATCAGGAATGGATTCAGGAATGGATTCAGGAATGGATTCAGGAATGGAATCAGGAATGAAATCATGAATGGAATCATGAATGGAATCATGTATGAAATCAGGAATGAAAGCAGGAATAAAATTAGGAATGGTATCAGGAATGAAATCAGGAATGAAATCAGGAATGAAATCAAGAATGAAATCAGGAATGAAATCAGGAAAAAAATCAGAAATAAAATCAGAAATGAAATCAGGAATGAAATCAGGGATGATGCTTGTGTAACCAGCATTTATTTATCTTCATTCATCAAGCTTTCATTTAACTTGATTTTTTTATGCTTGCGTCCTTTTGTTTTTAACCAACTTTACGTGTTATTAGTGCTTTTTTCTTTTGTCTTAACGATAACTCAACGGCCTGATAGGGAGATCATAATAAACCTATTTTATGACGTTGATTATGTAAATATCAATATTTACCAAACCTTACCTGCGCTAATTAAATGTGGCTCTGTATCGAAAAGAATAACCTCGAAATCGTAACAGCTGTTCCTGTTGTCACACGCTTCCCATAATCCAACATGTGCATAATCCTCGAATTTGCCAATGTACTTGGTAGAATAACCGATGACATTCAGTAAAAAGCCTGAAATGTGTAGCTAAGTTATACTTATTATTAAGTTAATTTTACATGCCTTGTCCGTAACCTACACTAACATATTTTCAGATAACGATTTGTAAACTCCGTTCCTAGCCATGAGACTAAACCTTAACTTAACAAAATTTACACTGAACAGAAAATAAAATTTTGATTTACTCTATTCAAAAACCATAAAACTTATTTCACAAATAACTCGACCAAGCCAAAACATAAACCCAAGTTTAAAGTACCGTTGTGGACGATACAAGCTGTTAGAATAATGAGCCTCAGTTTAATTTAGATAAAGTTTAACGTGTTAAGAGTAACTTGTGGTTAGATAATGTGCAATATATCGTGATCACCACTGCATAAAATGAAGTCAACTATTATGTGTAATATATCGCTACTAATACAGAAGCGTAGAGACATATTCCGACGCCCGGGGCGAACTGTCAGTTATGCGCCCCCACCCCATGTACATGTGTATATATATATATATATATATATATATATATATATATATATATATATATATATATATATATATATATATATATATATATATATATACATATACGCAATCGTTGTAGAAATCACTTAAATTATTTTTACTTTCTGCCCCAATCGACGAACGGGTTCGCCCTACCCTAGCTACGCCTCTGGACCACCATAACATTTTGAAACTTGGCCAAATAGTATGTGCAATATACTACGACGACCGTGGAAAATAATGGAAATTACCATTAACATTACACTTGGATTTGTCGGCTCGGTACGAACCTCGGGGGTCAACAAACAATAATATCACCGTGATTTTGTTAGGATTACGGGAATGTATGGTCGGATGGTAGAGCACATGAGTGCTAACCCGAAAATTTCGAGTTCGGATCCCAGGTTAGAGTTTGTACTGTGTGACGTCTGTCTATCAAGTTTTCATGGGTACCTGACTTACCTAAGGGAAAAATTGAAGTTTTGGCTTACTGCAGACCTGACTGTTTGTCTTTGTGCCGACATAGCTTCAGAGCGTACCAAGGGACCAGATTAACCATCATGCGTTCAAAACAAAATATTTTATGAAAACATTCATAGGGCAGATTAGACATCTTCTTACGGGGCAGCTTTCGGTCAAAAAGCCCGTTTGTTTCATCGGGGATTATCTTGTTACATCTCAAGAACAGTTTTGTCAAATGGCGATATCCAGCCCGGGTACCCAACACTTAAATTAGGGGCGTGGCCTTAGATTAACGCCCCACCCATTCCTCCGTTTCACCATTAAAAGCTGCATCTTTCATCTCAAGGGAAAGTAGGCATAAAAAACAGCTTTTTTATTTTACTTCTCTCCCGCACAATTTAATACACAAATAAGAAGTTATTGAGTTAGATGTAGCTTAGTCTATTAAAAAAATAAATAGTCGGACAAAATATGTAAATAACAAATCTGTATAACAAATATAGAATTTAAATAAACCTACCTAAAAGTTGTAGAGATATATCGATCTTCCACAGAACTGATGTTTTCTGAAACTGCATACTGAAGTCTTTTTGATTGGTAGTATCTCAAAATATACTTAAAGTAAGTACGTATCTGCAATTATATATATATATATATATATATATATATATATATATATATATATATATATATATATATATATATATATATATATATATATACCACTGGGAACATGGAGGAGAGAGATGGAAGAAAAAGTGCAGGCTACTGGCAAGACCTGGCATGAACTATTGTGGCTCGCCCAAGACAGAGTGGAATGGCGGAGATTTGTTGTTCTCTATACTCCACAGGGAGTGATGAGGATTAAGCATATATATATATATATATATATATATATATATATATATATATATATATATATATATATATATATATATATAAACTAACGGCGCAAATCATATCGGTCGACATGATAATAAAGACGTAATAAACGTAGGTTTTTTAAATCTTTGGGTCAGCTTGCAATTGATGATATTCATGGAAACAACAAAGAACTATAGTTTATTAAGTTTGTGTACCCTCGATACAATTGTGCCACTGAAAACCCTCAGATCTAATTCAATAGCTTAATTATATCGAGATACAGAGGAACTTAGTGGCACTCCTCCACATAAAACTCTGCCTGCAAGTCTACCCCCAAACCTACCCCACCCTTCCTACTACACACAAAGCCGTTGGTGAAAAGTGGGACGTTGGGGAAAAGTGGGCCGTTGGGGAAAAGTGGGCCGTTGGTGAAAAGTGGGCCGTTGGTGAAAAGTGGGACGTTGGGGAAAACTGGGCCGTTGGGGAAAAGTGGGCCGTTGGGGAAAAGTGGGCCGTTGGTGAAAAGTGGGACGTTGGGGAAAACTGGGCCGTTGGTGAAAAGTGGGACGTTGGGGAAAAGTGGGACGTTGGTGAAAGTGGGCCGTTGGTGAAAAGTGGGCCGTTGGGAAAATGTTGGGGAAAAGTGGGACGTTGGGGAAAAGTGGGCCGTTGGGGAAAACTTTGGGGAAAAGTGGAACGTTGGGGAAAAGTGGGACGTTGGGGAAAAGTGGGACGTTGGGGAAAAGTGGGACGTTGGGGAAAAGTGGGACGTTGGGGAAAAGTGGGACGTTGGGGAAAAGTGGGACGTTGGGGAAAAGTGGGACGTTGGGGAAAAGTGGGACGTTGGGGAAAAGTGGGACGTTGGGGAAAAGTGGGACGTTGGGGAAAAGTGGGACGTTGGGGAAAAGTGGGACGTTGGGGAAAAGTGGGACGTTGGGGAAAAGTGGGACGTTGGGGAAAAGTGGGACGTTGGGGAAAAGTGGGACGTAGGGGAAAAGTGGGCCGTTGGGGAAAAGTGGGACGTTGGGGAAAAGTGGGACGTTGGGGAAAAGTGGGACGTTGGGGAAAAGTGGGACGTTGGGGAAAAGTGGGACGTTGGGGAAAAGTGGGCCGTTGGGGAAAAGTGGGACGTTGGGGAAAAGTTGAACGTTGGGGAAAAGTGGGCCGTTGGGGAAAAGTGGGACGTTGGGGAAAAGTGGGACGTTGGGGAAAAGTGGGACGTTGGGGAAAAGTTGAACGTTGGGGAAAAGTGGGCCGTTGGGGAAAAGTGGGACGTTGGGGAAAAGTGGGCCGTTGGGGAAAAGTGGGCCGTTGGGGAAAAGTGGGCCGTTGGGGAAAAGTGGGCCGTTGGGAAAAAAGTGGGACGTTGGGGAAAAGTGGGCCGTTGGGAAAAAGTGGGCCGTTGGGAAAAAGTGGGCCGTTGGGGAAATAAACTGATGAGCCATATTTTGCTACACAATCAATTCAAAGCCCTTCGGATGACGTGTTAGGAACAAACAAAAAATTAAAAACTAAAAATAAATTACTTGGATTAGCATTATATTTATATTCTATTTCGAGATCATCAGTTCTAAAATAAATGTAGGCCTACTATTTAAAAAGAATTATTGAATAATTAAATGATATTTAAGGGATTGTAAAAAAGAGATTAGAATTAAATACTGCCTGAATGTGATTATCATAACTGTACAAAATCTAACAAAGCTTATGACTAGGGAAGGCCTAAACCGAATTTTTTACAACCTATCATTGCATTTTTAAGCTGCTATGTTAAGAATTCCAGACTCTAAGATAACATATTTGTTTATGGTATAAATTTTAACTATTTTTTCGTCACAGTAATACTAATAGTGTAAGCCTTTCTAATTTTCGAGTTATAAAAGGACGAATTTGTAAAAATGAAGTCAAAACCATACGTTATTTTAGAAATCGCTCTATTTTTAATTTTAACATTTAAATTTTTCCATCTATTAAACCATATTTTTGTTTGAAATCTAACTAAAAACTATTGAGCTTTGCTATATGTTGCAACGTTTTTTCAGGAAATTTTTTGAAAGGCACAAGTAGTGTGCCAAGCGAAGGTCGCGCGATTTCCGCTTTAAAATTATTTCGGTGACAGTTTTCATTCGATACAACACATGTGATGTATTTTACAATAGACACTTCAATAAACATTACACTGAACTAAATGGCTTAAAATGTACTTTTTAATGGTACAAAGCTAATAACTTTACGTTAAAAATTAGTAAAGTAATCATGAAGTAAAAAGCTACTACATATTAGGTATCTGCGGGGAAAAAAACGCGTTTCTGGGTCGTTTTTGGCGTCCCCATTTAACTTTTTAGTTACACACCTGACCTAATTTGTTGACACGCTCGTTTGTCGGGTGCAACAAAGTCCGAAAATTCCACAATGAACCAATCCCAGCTAGCAAATGGGAGTTACGTTCAGTTTATGTAGTATGTTTTTTAGGCTAGTGTAATGCCATTTTAATATTTTTTTTTATTTTGAGTGTGTAAGATTACTTGTAGTTAAAAAAAAATTTGAAAGTTTGTCCCCGGGAAGGGTCGCTATGCCTCTGGGGGGTGACACCATTAAGTGCCACCCGACCTCGCTACGACACTGAGTATGTTAACGACCTTTTTTTTCTCTTTTCACACCCCTACACCAAAAACCTGGCTACGCCTCTGCCGAGACAGAGGCGTAGCGACCCTTCCCTGCGCCCGGGGACAAACTTTTCAATTTGAACCCCTCAAGATTTCGATTTGCACCCCCCTCAAACTTACAATTTGCACCCCCCTCAACCTTTCAATTTATTATTCCAACCCATTTTGGCGCCCCCTAAGGTCGGCCCCCGGGGACATATGTACCCCCCCCGCCCCCCCCCCCCCTCGCTACGCTACTGTGCCGAGAACGTACACTCCATTATGGTATGCTATTTTCATCGCTCACAAACATTCCGTTACAACAAACATGATGACATCATCCCCTTTAAATATATAACATTCATATTCGTGAATTGTTTCTTTCAGACATTTATCTCCCGGGATGGGGGATAGTTTTTTAAATTTACATTTTTGGGGCTGATTTGAGCGTACACTGGTAAAAGTATGTATTGTCTATATAAGTATTTCTTTCCGGAGGAGGCAGTGCCCCCGTCGTACTCCCCCAAGAGACGCCTTAAAATAACTCTGTTTGTAAATACAGCATTCGTGAGATCCCCTAAATATCTATATATATAATTCTCTTCTGGGAGACGCTAGAAAACAAGCTGCAAGCGCGCCTTACAGTCCCCTATCTTTCTCTCTATCACTATCACTACCACCCCCACCCCACCCCCACATGGTCTGGTGAGCTGTGGTCACGATAAATGATTACAAATCGTGACGGTTATTAGGGGCAGATAATTTAGTTTGAAACGATTTTAAACTTACAGGAGGTAACTAAGAGGAGGCTGCTTTCACGGGGGGGGGGGGTGTAGGGTCGGGGTTAGGGGAAAGGGGGGGGGGGTTAGTGTTTTAAAGCAAATATTTTCAGTGGCAGCATTGGTACTGTCGAATTCACAAATTATGAATTACTGAAAAGTAGAAAATAAAACAACTAAATAGCGGCGTATGATACGCAGCGGGTCGGCTCGTTCTTATACAACAGCTACGGTTGGGTTGATGTGTTCAGTGAAATCGTGTATGTAAGTTCATAAAAAAAACAATCGTTTTTCCGAGAATACACGTAGAGGTGTAATGTTCGTAAAATAGGCTGCTTTACGAGAAAATGATTGTTGTGAACACACTGACACCTGCGAACCCAGTCAAGCGTGGCATACAACATATAAAGTACCAATAACTGGGGTAACAATAACGGGTAACAATAACGGGTAACAATAACGGGTAATAAAACAAGGGCCTATATAAAACGAAGGCTGGTTAATAAGACTAAAAATAAAAGTTTAAAGCACCAACTACACTACACACTAACTACAACAAGAGTCACAATATATTTTATGTCTACAACAAAAAGTACACCAAATCTAGAACGCAGTGGTAAGCTAATGTTCTAAACTAGTGGCTTAGGTAGGGGGTTGGGGTGTTTTGTAGCCTGAAATATACTAAGCTCCACACCACCCCCCTTTAACGAAAATTGCTCAAAGGTTGTTTGAATTCTTAAAATAGGATCTAAAACAACTTAAAAATGTAACTCTAAAAGAAACAGTACTCAATTTATCGTATTCACATAGACAAACATACCCACATACCCATATACGTAAGGTCCCTAACTGTAATCTTGCATACAAAATCATTCATGGCTTTGACTTGACTTGACTTAGTCCTCTTTGCTCCTTGTGGAGCATAGGGCCTCCACCATTTCCTTCCATTTCTTCCTATCCTCGGCTATTAATTTTGACATCTCCCAAGACATCCCTGTTGGCTTTAGTGACTTCCTACGTCTTCCTCATTAGACAAGGAACATGGAGGCCAAATATTCCTTTACAAAATAATTTAGGGGTATTATCTCTAGCATCGCAGCAACATGTGAACGTTCCATCAGAACGAAACATAAGTAAACTCTACCTAAGGGCTAAGGGCTACACTACAAAGTCATCATCTTGCAACATAGGCTGTCATCCAGTGTTTCTTCCAGACTTTTTTCTCAGGGGGGGGGGCACTTGAAATTTTCTTCGGGGGGTGAAGGGTGGGGCGGACACCGTTAAAAGTATATATTTTCTGAATAAATTTCGTTTCGTTCCGGGTGCGGTAGACTTCCTTCAGATG